TAATTTGATTAGGAAGGCTAATCTTTATATACAGATAAGATAAGGAATTATCCTTATCACTTAAAGAGTCCAGATCCAAATAAAGATTTGGATCAGGAAACTCCTAATGAGATTAAGAAGTTGTCTCTTTGCTATAAATAAGAGAGTTGGGCGAACCTTGAAGATACACTCACTTAATACAGAGAGAAGACAACTCAGTTAGACTGATCTTGCCTTCTGTTCTTGCCGCCCTACCCTGTGTGATCTCCAGTTCTTAGATTGGATCAAGATTTGATCTTGATATTGTCTCTTGCCAAAAGAAACAATTTATAAGTTGTGCTCACAGTTCTTGGTGAAGAACTACCTGCTGATCCTGCCTCATCCTAAGCTATGTCATCTTCAGTGGAGAGAGGATTTGGTACACTATTTGGGCGTGAACACCTACGTTGGGAGGAGCATTCTTGCGTGGATTCCGTATCAGGTATATCCCTCCCTTATTTTGGTTTTAGATTTGGTCCGGTTTGGTTCTAAGATCAAACCTTGAAAATGCAGTTTTCTAAATTGTGAATAGGATTCTTGGATGGGAGTAAAGAAATTTTTGAAATTTCGCTCAACCTTCCTGTAGGGTTCGGCCATCCATATGATGGATCTCCCATCTCTTTCAATAAGGCCCGTTTGGTTGCTGAAGAATATACTCAGATACATGGTATTGGCTACTTAGAAACTTTTGCCCCAGTAGCCAAGATAACTTCAGTTCAGGTTTTGCTATCTTTAGCTACTTCTTTTGACTGGCCTCTTCATCAGTTTGATGTAAAGAATGCCTTTTTGAACGGAGACCTAAATGAAGAAGTCTATATGTCTTTACCTCCAGGGGTGTATGGGAAGGAGATGCAAGGAAAGGTCTGTAAACTGAAGAAGTCTCTTTATGGCCTTAAGCAGTCTCTTAGAGACTGGTTTTACAGATTTCGGGCTGCTCTTGTTGCTTTTGGATACACACGAATTCAGTCGGATCATACTTTGTTTGTTAAGAGGAGAGATTCCTTAGTGACCCTCCTAATTGTCCATGTTGATGATACTGTGGTTACAGGAAGTGATACTCAGGAAGTTGTTCATCTCAAGAGTTTTGTTAACACTGAGTTTGAAATTAAAGACTTCGGAGAACTCATATATTTCTTGGGAATTGAAGTTGCCAAATCTAAGGATGGTATCTTCATTTCTCAACGGAAGTATGTTCTTGATCTCCTTGCAGAGACTGGGAAATTGGGGGCTCGACCTGCTTCTACTCCTATCGATTTAAATCATAAGTTGTCAACGACTGAAGGTGAATTGTTGCCTGATAAGGGGTGTTCCAGAGACTGGTTGGGAAGTTACTTTACCTTTGCATGACTCGGCCATTTATCTCCTATGCAGTTAGTGTAATCAACCGGTTTATGCATTCTCCCAGCAGCTGCTGAGAGAGTTCTATGCTATCTAATAGGGACTCCGGGGAAAGGTCATTGATGCTGACTGGGCCGGATGCATTGATGATAGGAGGTCTACTTCAGGTTACTATGCTATGGTAGCAGGGAACATTGTATCGTGGAGTAAGAAGCAGTTTGTAGTGGCAAGATCTTTAACTGAAGTGAAATACAAGGCCATGGCACATGGAGTTTATGAACTTCTATAGTTGAGATCACTTTTAGATGAATTGGGTATAGACTGTGAGAAGCCAATGATGTTATATTGTGACAACCAAGCTACTAACAACATTGCACAGAATCCTATTCAACATGACAGAACTAAATACATTGAGGTTGACAGGCATTTTATACGAGAGAGAGTTGCCTCAGGAGAAGTTTGTCTACCATTTGTTTCTTCTGAAGAACAGTTGGCTGATGTTTTGACAAAAGGTGTTCCTAAAGGAAAGCTGGTTCATTATATAAGCAAGCTGGGCATGATGGATATCTATCCTCAGCTTGAGGGGGATGCAGAGAGAGTGGACTGAATGGGCTCCTAAACCATTAGTGTCTTTCTTATTAGTTCTTTCATGTTATGTTTTCTTATTGGGCCTTTTCTTTATGGGCCTTTAGTTCTTTTTATGTTTTCCTAAGTTTAGTGCTGATGTGGACACCTACTTAAGGGCCTCCTTGTAATTTATGTAACTTAAGTATGTTTTATAAAAGATAAGAGTAAGAGAAAGAGGAGATATTCGAACTCCTCCTTTCTTCTCCAATCTTCTTCCTTCTTCTTTCTGTCTCCTTCTCTGATTTCTTTTACTTTATTCTGAAATATTATTCTACTGATTTTATTAGTTTTGAATCACATCTACTTTTACAATTGAATTCAAATTTGAATTTAGTCTGATTCAATTTGAATTCATTACATTTACAGGCCTACATGACAGCAACAACAAACTGCAAAAAAAACCTGTTGAAAAGAAACAAAAAGAAACTAACTCCTCTAGAACCATCTCCACAGACAACTTCACAAATGATCACCTGCAACATGAACTAAAATGAATCCAACCTGGTGGAAGTAGGACCCTGATCATCCCATTCAAAACACCTCTTCTTCCTCTCAAACACTTCAAAAGCTTTCCTGACGAATTCCTTACCACCCAGAAGAACAGGCCCTGGCTTTTGCCAATCCTTACGTATTTTTTAGCCGCTTCCTCAGTAGTACTTCCAGATTTCTTCACCTTCTCTTCAGGCTTTTATCAAGGTCTTTTGCACTTTTGCAGTAGAATCAACTTCACCCTCTATTGCTTCTTTATTCTGCGTAGTCCCCAATTGCATACCCGGATTAGGTGCAGCCAGAGAATCCTCGTCATCCATTGCTTCGTTTACGATGTAGTAGTCTTACTGCACCTCCTCTTATACACCCTCTTGTAGTTCTTTGTAGGGCCATCCCCTACCAATCCAAGTTTCAACCTAGAAAAAACTTTGGTAACATGAACTGTATGTGAATATTTTTACTCCGTTAGCTCCGTGAGTTTATTTTTGGGATTCATTGATTCAGCCACAGTTAACTCTTTCTTATCTATCTCCTACTCAAATCCACCCCTACCCTCCTGATCACTACCTCCTCAAATAACCGGTGATCAGCTTCAGTGCCCTCGGACTGAGTTTCCACTGCTTTAATCACCAACACCACGATCTCCACCTACTTTGGCAGCAACGACCTCCCTCAAATCCTTCTCCCTCTCCTCCAAACCATTCTCTTCTTTATGGATCTCACCGGAAACATTAAACAAAATATCTTTCATAATAGGAATAAAGTCCAAAGACGGCGTACTTCTGTTTTCTTTTAATGTCACGGATTCAAGTTCCTCCGCAGATTTGCCCCTATCTCGCACGCAACAGACATGAGCATCATCACCGTTGCCAAAGCTTTGGACATCATCACCATTGCTTCCCAGCTGGTTTCAATAGCAGTCTTTCTTGTTGTATATTTTTTTCAGAGGGTCCCTCCTGCTCCCTTTAATACATATATCCATCTTTAAAAAAACAAAGTTTTGGAGATATTCTAAAATTTTAAATATTAATCAGATGGTACATCAATGAGGTTTGAACTATTGCTGATATATTGCCAATGTATCAGAGATATTGTGCAAAAAAAAGATTCTTAGAGCATTTTGTATTGCCTTCTAGTGAAATTTCGGGGAAATTTTGCTACATACCACTGATATTGCATAGACTACATTCTGTCTTAATTCTGATAATGCTGATTCCTTATTATTAGTATCAATTGCTTTGAATTTTTATTATCAAGTATTGTTTTGAATCACAACAAAGGCGGCATTTCATTGTTTTATACGTGTATTGTTTTATCTCATTTGGGACGATAATGGCTGCAGATTACAACCTTTAACATCTCATTGGTTGTGCATGGAACAGTTGCAGAGAATAATGATTATCAAAAGGTAAATAAGATATGAGTTGCCTTCTTTGTTCTTTTTCCTTTTTCTATGCCTTTGATGTTGATATAAAATTTAACTACTAATGTGAAATACCAAGTTTCTTTTGATAAAGACTGGTTATCATTGATTGTATTGCAGGGAAAATGCAACCCATATGATGTTCCCATCAGCATGGGTATCTTTCGATTATTAGAAAGCCCTTTGGATATCACAACTACTACAATAATAAGAAGGATAGTATCAAATCATGAGGCATATCAGGTTTCCTCATCAGGCTTTTTCTATGTTTTCATTATTTTTCTATGTTTTCATTCTATGGTAATTAATTCTGAAATTTCTAATTTTTTTATAGAATTGGAGGGTTAGCGATATTTAGATTACTTTCAAATTCCACGGGGCGCCTTAACAACTATGCTTCTAACCTTTGCACCAGTGACAGAAGGCCTTAGAGATTTCCTTAAATTTAATCTCTATCTCATGCACTTGTTTAATTTAGGAGGAAACATAGTTTGCAGTCCTAAAGTCAGATCAAGGTTAACCAAAGTGACTCCCATGACTTTCATAAAGTCAGATTTCCAATTGGTCCATGCAGGTAAAGTTGTAGCACAGGGATCCCTCTTGAGAGAGGAAACAAATGGACTCATTTATTCAAGGGAGATCATCCAATGATCTGAAACTTCATGGAGATGATTTGAATCCATCCATGACAAGTAGAAAGTCGCAAAAGTCTTTAATATAGCCAAATACTGGTCATGTGGAAGATTCACATTCCACCATTCACTTAAACATAGAAATCACATTTATGACATTTTAATGGGCCTAAGAATGGTTCAGTTCAGTCTATGATGAACCAAACTTGCTAATGGGCTTGCAATCCCCTAACTTTCAATCAGTTTTGAGCCCAAGACAAGTGAGGAGATTTAATTAACATTGCAGCACCTTAAACCCATATATATTTCTGACTTTAGGCACAACAATTGTGACCCAGCTGCAAAAAAGGAGTAGATAGTGTATGGAGAGTGGTTTGATGAGATGTTTGGGGTTTCTAAAAGGAAGCTTCTAGTCTAGGGTTTTAATAGAACTCAATAAAAGTTAACAGAAGGGCGGAAGAAATTTTGTTAGAGGTTGGAGATAGACAAAATCAATAAAGTTGTTTGGCTTCTATTAAGTAGAACAACTCCAATCAATAGCAAACATGTAGAAGGGAAGAAAATTAGACAAGAAGAAAGGAATGCAGTAGCAGAAAAGAAATGCAAAAGAGATGACTAGATATGTTTTGGATGCAGTATTTACACTAGATTTCGAAGTATTTGATGCAATATCACATCAAAGTAGTGGAAGAGAGTTAAGGTTTAGGTTAAAAACAGAAAGACAAGCTCCTGGAGCATAAAAATCCAGTTTCATAGTCCATTCTGCTTCGAATAGAAAAAAGATTATATTCTGGGCCAACAACTGATTAACCCTACTTTGATGTCGATGTTCATAAGAAAGCATCAGTATCCGTGTAATAATGTTGTCCATCTTGACAAGAAAGAACCTATTTCAGCTGTATCTATTGTGGGGAGATGGGGAATACTGTTGTATTTGATTGCAATGTTTGGGCTTGCTCCTCCTAGTCCCCTATATGCATTCTATCTTTCTCTTCTTGTTGAAGTCTACTGCCACTTAATAATAAACTAGTAAATGTATACGTGCTATGCACGGGGCATTTTCAAATAACCATGATTATTTTAGTACCCTTATGAAAACCCATGGAACAATGATAAATAATCAAAGCTTGGTGTACATCATGGTTTGACCACTTGACCCATTTGGCTTAAAAGAAAAAATGATTTCTTTCTTGAGTGGATTTACATTTTATATTTCATTTCCATAATTAATTACTACTAAAATAATTCTTGTTTATCACACTTATCTTTGGCACATTTTCAGGTCAGTTTTAAATATATAAGTTTTGTATTGTTAAAATTATTAGATATATAGTTAAAATTATTAGACGAAAACACAATGCTCCTAGTGAGTAGGTAAAAAATGATGTTTTGGAAAGTAAGACACCCCTGTGCACATGTATACTTGAAATTTATGGGTGCACCCTTTTTGGAAAGATCGAAGCCTATATTTGCTTTGTACCTCATATACATATTTGCACTGTATTCTTTTGGTTTTGAGTGCAGAAACGTAATGAGAAGAAGGCAGAAAGTGAGAGGAGGTATTATGAAGATAAGACGTATGTGGCTGGTGACTGATTTTAAAATCCATGGATAGATTGTACTAATTTTTTGGGCCTACAAGTTCTTTCGTCATTTCTCGATGAAGGTGGCCGTAATGACATCATTGTGCGACCAAATTAAGAGGATATCTTCACCTGTATTGGGTTATACCTTTACAAGCTGACATGCGAGAATGTTTTAAGGAGGCAATATATTATTTCTATTCTCCCTTCACCCTTTCCGTCTCTAGCATGTGCTCCCGGCCATTTTCCATTAACTGTAGGGTTAATACACATTATCTTCACCTGTATTATTACATAATACACATTACAGCTTACAAGGATTCAGGACTGGGAACAGAGCAGGGTGCACGTGTGAACCGATGACCTTACCACGGAGAGGCTGCAGTTCCACTGGGTTTGATCCCGCGTCTCCATATTTTCTCCATTTTTTTGATATGTATCTTTAGGAAGATTTTGGGACGTTGGAACATTTTTTAGATTGGCATCGTAGAATTAATCTTATAAGCTTTAGTTTTATTGTCATGTGAATCAATGGGGCATCATGGTGGTTTTCTTTTGCTAAACAAATGGTTTGACTATGATACCATAAAGATATTATATAGGAAAAGCTTACATCCAATCAACTGGTATTATAAAAGAGGTGACCAATCGAGTAGTATTAGTCAAAGTTCACTGGGTGTTTTCCAGCCTTTTCTGGTGGTACCATGCCTTTCCGGTATCATAGATTTCTCCAAACAAAAAACACTATTATCACAGCAAAAACAATTCAATTTTTTGCTAATGTCTGTCCTGATTTAAAAAATTTTACACAGTGAATTCATTGGAACTTTTGAGAGCGAGACTAGTAACACTTTGGCTGGAACCTTGTACGTCTTAAGTATAAATCAATCTTCATTTAGGAAAATAATAAGTTGCAATTTGTCATTTACCAATTTTCATTAAATAAAACAAATTCAGTTTGTAACTTGTAATAGGGGGTACATGTGCAGAGATTTCATTTCAAAATTCAAATTAAAGGACTTTGTTATACCTTCGGAACTCGAAATGTGTTTGGGATTTTAGAAATTTAACTGAGATTCAATAAAATTATAATACGAAAAAAAGGGTTTAATTAAAATATGGTTACAATTAGCCAGTAATCACAAAATAAATTAACAAGTCACCATGAATTTAATTACTTAGTCCTCCCTTATGCTTTAACCCCTGTATATATATCCTTTTGCCATTCAAAGTTCAAATAAATGTGCAAAGGCAACACTTTAAAACTTTTTACTTAAAATCTTGTCATAACACCAGGTTTTTTAAAATCTCACTTTTGCCCACAAGTCCATAACAATTGGGAAGAAAATTTACTGAAATACCTCAAAAAGCTGATTCAAATCTATGGGGTCGGGTAAAGAAAAAGACCAAAGTTCAGGTTGACTTAAACCCGTGGTTTTCGAACCATTGTTGACCCGGATGGTTGGACCGTTTGGCCTGGGAACCGTCTAGGCAATCAGTTCTTTTTTACCCCAAATCCGGCCCCTGCCTAAAAACTGTTGAATCAGTCAATGACCTGTTGACCCGGATGGTCGAATCCTTGACTCATTCAGCGATTTTTGGTCTTTTTTTTTGTCAGAATGGGTCGTCCATTCGAACCAGATGGTTGAACCATTGACTCGGAAACTGATGGCCAGAACAGTTCTGTAACGGAATGAGTCATTTTCTAAAACCATGTTTAAACCTTCCCTATTTGCAGAAACACCATTTCAGCTCATAGCTACAGACAACAGTGAAACATTATGCTGCTACTTATATGCTATATAGTCTCTCTTTCTTCTGTTTTCTTTGTTTATTCTCATGGAATAGGGACTTTAGTAGGCTCTACTTATTGCAGCTTCAACCATTATCGAGTCTAACTTTAATTCTACTCCCACTTGGAATTTGCGGAAAAGAAAGAACTGCAGAAATGGGAAGCATTTGCAGATGATATCTTTTCGTTGTTTCAATTTGTTTTGCTTTCTCCATCTCTTCATCTACAGATCTCTGTGTTTTGTTGAAGCGTAAAACTATTATGATTGGACCAAAATCTCTGGTCCGGACGACTAAAACATTCATCTTCTTAGAACTTGCATTGCTTGGTTTCTGGTGACAGGAATGAGATTATTAAGAATAGTCAGATTATGATACTGGAAATGCCTGAAATCTTGAAAAATGATATCCAATCGACAAATATCACAAAAGTGGTAATTAATCAGCCGGTGGTCATCAAAATTCACAGTGGGTTTTGATTGGTCAAAGTTCTTGTGACATAATAGATATTGCTTTAAAAATTTCAGTTTTGAATCACATTTTGCCTTGACTATTGGCTATGCAATAAGATTAATTTTTTCTTCATTTTACCCCCAAATTCCTGGTGGAGGGGTGGCCAATGTTAGGGGTGCAAAATGGATTAGCCCATGATCACCCTGACTGGCTCTGAACAATGGCCCTCAGTTCCTTGGTTGTCCCTTCTTGCCTAGAGGTAGGGCTGCCAATGAGTTGGGTTTTGGTTCGACATAGGGTATACCAGTCTCAAATCGATAATAATTGGCAAGAAATCATAGACGGGGAACAGTTCAAATTTCCAATATTGGGATTGACTCAATTTGACCTGATCATACTGACATCGATAAGTTCTTTTTTAATAACAACTTAAAACTTCATTTTCAATATTATAAAATTAATAAAAATGACATTAAAAAAGTAAATTATTTCTATGTTAATAAATCAAGTGTTTAACCAATGTTTTTGAACCATCGTTAACCCTGGCGGTCAGACCATTTGGCCCAGGAATTGTCTAGGCAACCGGTTTTGTTTTACCCCAAATCATTGAATTAGTCAGTGACCTATTGACCCGGGTGTTAGCACCCAATTTTTGCTCGGTCCCTTCACCCTACATCTTTGTACCCCCCTCTTAGACTCCAAAAAACTTAGAAACACAACCAGATCAATTTGAGACTTCCCAAAACCCGAAATACCCTCATCTGACACAATCCACAAGACAAATAACAACATTGAGGTCAACATTAACGTTTGATCATACACCATCCCCAGACTTGGAAAACTATAACTTAGTTATACATCAATTTTCATGACTAAACTCCAAAGATCCACCATTCATCATTCAAATTCCAACTTCTCAAAATCAAATTCAACACACCCATCACCTCAGGACCACTAGGAAGTAATCAATTGATGAACCCCACCACAAATCTACGATGATCAACCACAAAAACATCAAGATCCCATTCTGAGGCTCTGAATGATTACTAAGATCAACCATATATTTCTCATATCAGAACCACTTGCTTGACTCCTCACCCTAATCCATTCCTACCTACCAAATTGTAGCTCCTGTTTGACCCCTCATCAAGCCTAGATCATATTCCAATAAATATCATTAATTAGAGCTTACCATTTATCATCCCAACTTCATATGACCAATCAAACTTTACCATTGTATTCGGAGACCCAAAAAACCCTAGCATGTCAAATTTCATGACCAAACACCTCCGTTTGACCATTGAAAAAGTAAGATTCAATTTCGAGCCATCTCGTTAATTGGAAAACCATAAGCTAGAACCATAATCTAAATTAAATCAATCAATCTATACCTCTGATGAAAGATCCATCACTTCCATTAGAATCACGACGATCAAAAGTGCCAACCCACCAAATTTCATCCCAAAAATCCCATGTTTGACCCTTCATCAAACAAAGATTCTATTTCAGCAAATCTTGTTAACCCAAACTTGTTAGCCATAGATCTCAATCATCTCGACCCTATTTGTCTGATCAGACCTCGCCACTGTGTTTAGATACTCAAAAAAAACCCCAACACGCCAAATTTCACATCCTAATTCACCCATTTGACCGTTAAACTAGAAAGATGTCATTTTGACGCACTAGATTAAATTGCCATGTCATCTGGCCCAACCTGAAGCCTTAAAAGGTTGATGGCTAATGTTAGACCCATTCTTGACCCATTAAAACATCTGGACCAATCAAACAGAGCCTAATATGCTTAAAAAGCTCAAAATGTCAAATAGACCCCCACTTAAAGATAAGAAAAGACAAACCACATTTAAAAGCTCTTCAAATTTACATTTTCTGCCACTAATAGCCCCAAATACGAGGCTGCACTGTCTGACACGCCCTAAGCTCCCATTGGACGTACAAAACCCGTGGAAACCACCCCCAAATTGAAGAATCTGTTTCACCAAACAGGAAGGCTTGATTGAGCATATATTTCTTTGAAGAATTTTTACCTATTTTTGTGAAAACCTCTATTGAATCCTAAGCACTGTAGCTGGGCGAATTTCAGACCCATCTCCCTCCATTTTCTCTATAAATAGAGGCCCCAATTCGAGCTTGAAGAAGGGGGAGAGACCAGGGAAGAAAAAAGGAAACCTGAGAGATGTCCCTAGAGAAAGAAAGAGGGAGAAGGAGGAAAGTTTTCCAACCTTTATAACCCACCTATTTTGCATGAAATGTTGAAATCCCTGAAGCCAAGCTCAAGCCTCACCCTTGTTTCCCAAACTTCACACCAGAAACGCTCAACCCAAGTTTCATTTGAAGTTCGTAGCTGTTGGAAAACTCCCGTTAAGGTACATACGAAAGGTAAGTTTTTTTAGTTTTTCTAGGTTGTTTGAAGTTCTAAAATGTTGGAGAGCCATCGTTTTCAATTTCTTCTTGACTGAGAATAGAGGCAAAGAGGTGAGGGTCTTAGGGAAATCTGTACCTAAGACTCGATAACATAACCTCAAAATCGATCTTAAGAGAAGGTGAAAGCATGTTCCTCCAGATTTAAGAAATTCTTGAAACCATTCCCTTTTCTTAGAAAGAAACTGAGCCTGAATAACTCCCTTTTCAGAAAGAAGGTGAAAGCATGAGCCTAACACCTTCCTTCTCCCAATCCTTGGAACCCGAATCTCATGGTTGTGTGCCTTTTCCACGGAGGATGGAGTCACTAGCAAAGACTTAAATCGAGATTTTCAAACCTGAAAATGAGGGTCCATTTCCTCTAAAAAAATGGGTAGCGACTCCATCACTTTGAGCCGACCATGAGCTTCCCAAAGCTCACACTGGGAGGTTGAACCATTGACCTGTTCAACGATTTTTGGCCATTTTTTTATTTTTAATTATTTTTTATTTTTTATATTTTTTTGTCAAAACATGCCCTTCGTTCGAATCGGATAGTCAAACCATCAACCCGAAAACTGGTGGCTAGAACGGTTCTGTTTCCATGTCATTTTTTAAAACCATGATTTTAACTAAAATTATTTTATATATTATAATAAAATAAATAAAAATTATATATTTTTATATCGGAAAATCTTACTACGAATCAACTGATATCATAAAAGAGGTATATATATACTATTCAGTAGCCTATACTTTTGCTCAAGTGACAATTTGGTCCCTAAACTTCAAAATGCAACAATTCAATACTTGTCTTTAACTAGTCCGTTAATCAATCATTAAGTGACATTTGAAAAGTCAAAAATGCCCTAAAAATGCCATTTGAAAAGTCAACCATCTAAACATTGACAATAAAACGGTTCCAAATTCTAAATTCTTCTAAATAGTCACCAACTTTTTTGAATAGAAGAGGTTAGGATTTGGGACTATTTAGTTTTTTGTCAACGTTTGGATGGTTGATAAAGAGAATTAGATATAATTGGAAGGGCATTTTTGACTTTTCAAATGTCACTTAATGAATGATTAACGAACTGGTTAATAACAGGTACTGGATTGTCACATTTTAAAAGTTTGAGTACTAAATTGTCACATTATCAGAAATTTTCCAAAACAAAAAATTCAGTGATTTTCATCAAAATTCACGGAGTACTATGTCTTTATGGTATCATAGGTTTACTTAAAAATGTTAATTGATTCATAACAAAGAACCGGGACTAAATCACAGTACCAGAATCGATATAATCGGTCCGTTCGGTTCGTTTTGAGCTTGATCGGACAGAAGTACAGAACCAAGTCACCAACCCATTGATAGCCTAGATAGAACTAGAACGATATATGTCAACTCGCTTCGTTCCTGAATCCTGATCATTTCAATGAAGTTATTTGCCTAAAAATCATTGTTCCATTAAACCTCTGAGTTCTCGCGCAACAAACGAAAAACTCACGAGTTCGAATAAAAGCACAGAAACTGCAATAAAAGAGTTAAAATGGAGAAGCTGAAAGCTGTGGTTCCAAGCGGTCTTAAGGGGATACTTTCTGAAAGTAATCCAGAAGATATTCCATCCACTTGTTCATCTCTTCTAGAATTCTTCCAACCTCTGCCACTATTTCAGAAAGTAACTATTCACTTATTTCTCCCATTTCTATTTTTACTTGAAAGCAATAATCTAGAGTTCTCAGACCGTTTAACTACTCCTTTTGTCATTTCTTTTTCTTTTTCTCTTTCTCTGATTTGAATTCTTGTCGTAAGGTGGTTCGAGAACTAACGGACCCAGAAACTGCTCTCTGCGCTAAGAACGTAGCCACTGCTTTGGATTTTAAGCAGAAGGGCAACGAGTATTTTTCGAGCGGGGATTACGCGAAAGCCTTGGCTTTCTATTCGCAGGTCCTGCTCTTTGCTTTCCTTTCTTTTAACTTTATTCTTTAACTGAAAAACTTGATTCTCCCTTTCTTCTTACTTGATTTTTTTAATGACTTAATTCGCTTTGGCAATTGCACTGCCTGATTTGCATTGTTATTCGAATGCCGAAATCATGCGTTTGCTGATTAGCGTGATGGAGGTGCTTATTTGAATACTCATGCTTTGCCATTTTCAAAAAATAGGCATTACGTTTTGCTCCAATGGAGGTTGACAAACTGGACGAGATGTTGGCTACCACAATTTATGTGAATCGAGCTTCTTCACTGCACGTGGGTTTGAATCTGAACTTGTGTTTCTCAAGTTGATAGTTTCGGTCTTTTTGGAATTTGATGTTTGTTGATTTGTTTAATACATTTACTGGGAAACTGCAGCATCATTTTATTCTATGGTTAAACTTAATAGTGAGAACGAATGTGTTTATCTCCTTGGCATTGTCTTTGCCTCTACAGACGCATTATCAAATTGTTTTAAGTCTGTCATCCTGGAATTGTCAACTTCGTTACTGACATCTTGAACTGTCTAGAGCTCAGCTTCATCTACTTATTTGTGCTTTCTTTTAATCTATTTTCCAGAAAATGGGCCTTCTTATTGAGGCCTTACGAGATTGCAATCGGGCTGTCGTACTTTCTCCTTGCTATGCAAAGGTAGGTACGAAAGCATTCTTCATTTAATTTTGTTTCTTTCTCACTATGATGCCACACTTATCTGTTTGGCACTATAGATCTGTCTTTCTTGTATAAACCTATCCTTATTTTTGTGAATAATACTATTTGTTAGTTAAAAAAATGATACTATTGAAATTTGTTGGAGTATTCCATTTGTATGAAGAATGGGGCTATTTTAGGAAGAGGATATATAGTCAGGGACTAATGTAATGTCAACTCCATTATTTAATACTGTATGGAATGTCTCTCCCATTAAAGAGAGACAGATTGGCATGTGATATTGCTAGACAAGCAATATTAACTCTTTCTCTTCTCCTTTTTCATTTTTCTTATTATTTAAAATAAAACAGTATTAGAGCAAGGAGATTCTGTGAACGTTGATGGAGATGTCTTCAGATCTATAAATTGATATCTTCTTTTGTGTTTTGATCACCTTTCTCTTTCCATTACAATTCTTGTTCATCTTTCATTCAATTTTTATTTATTTTTTAGTGCTTGGAATTTTTGTCATCTTGTTAGTGCAATCTCCAAGAGTATTGGAGTATTAGTTTGTTTGAAGCATGTGGTTATTTTAGGAAGAAAATATATAGTCAGGGACTTGAATGTAATATGAGTTTCATTGGGGTCTTTCTAGTAACTTTGGATAATCTTAATATTATATAAAGAGTCTCTGTAAAATTCACTACTCTTCTTTCTTCTCTTCTCTTTTTTCTCCTTGTTCACAACAACAAAATTGATCTGAAAATCCTCCTAATTCATGAACATATGGTTGCCAGCTGGTGGAAGACACTGAGATCATTGGCATATCTTTCATTTACTATTCCAAAATGTGCAACGATCATCTAGTCATTGGGCCAGGGTCCTCAGGCCGGACCCATTCAAAATTTAGTAAAAGCTCAACCCGAGCCTGCCTAAGTTGCCACCTTGATGGCTTCAAATGCTCAATGATGGCTATAAACTATGGTAACAGGAGAAATAAAGTACACAAGGTGTCTTTGTAGTGGAGAATTAGATAATGGACGAAAATTTGGGTTCAATTTTAATTGCTGTCTAACTTGTTTTCTGTATTGGTTGAATTTCTGTGGAAGAGCTAAGAGAGCTTATCTCTCTCTGGTTTGTACTTGGCTTTGCTTTTTAATAAAGATTATATGTTATTGATAAAAAAGAATGAAGAGGGGGAAGAAAATCATAGATTTGTAAATTGGACTTAGTGTTACATAGTGTATGCCCTCAAGAGTCCAATATTATTTTTTTTTTGTGAATAAAGTATGAGTCTCTAGTACAATTATATGTGACATTGTGGCATATTTCTGTGATGAAATTCTGTGTTTCTAGTACAGAATTTCATCAGACTAACAGAGCAGAATTGGGAGAGAACTTCTAGGATATTCTTGAGTTACAGACTTGTAATTTTGATCAGTTTCTTGTCTCTTAAATTGTCCATATATTTTGCATTTTTTTTTGTTAAGGCTGTGGTGGGGTGTTATCTTGACACCCCTTAGATGACTTCTTTTTCCTTTAATGAAAATTTTATTTTGATTCTTCAAAAAAAAAAAAAAAAGAAGTTATTCCCTTGATCTACATTTTAGGACAATTTTTTTATGAATCATTTTAGGACTATGTTATGAGCAAGGTTCAAAATATCGATATGCCCCTGTGTATTGGCAGTGGCGTATTGGTACTAAAATCCTTGTGTTTTTATATTGTTTTAGTTTTTTTTTTCAAAAATTGGTTTTTGGGTAGAATTTTCTATATATTTTTTCATTAAAAAAGGAGGGTTCCCACAGGTGTTTCAGAACCCAAAAGATACAATACGATATACCCGATACGGGGTGTATTGTATCTAAATTTTGATCCTTGATTATGAGACTACATATTCACCATGCAGCCTAAATTTTCTTAACCAATGGATTAACCTGGTGGGGACCATCACTCATGATCAATATACGGTGGGGACCATCACTCTTCTTTATTTCTCCCCTTTTCTTCCTCCTTTTTTGTATATAAATCTTCTTCTGTATCTCTTCTTTCTATTTTCTTGATCAGTATCAGTAACAGAATCAAGATTTATTGCTTAAAGAAATAAAGCATGTATCTTTCTGTTGTAAACTTAAAATGTTTAACATTCTCCACTTATATTTTCTCCACCTTTTGGCTTGTTATTGTTTGCGTGCTTCCACTCTTGATCACTATGATTTCCTACTCTCTCCTGTATTGTGATTGGTGTTTCAATCTTGACCTCTTCCCCCGCATTTTCATCTTGGCTTACTTGTTTGTCTATGACCCTACTACACTTGTTGGGGTCTCCACTTCTGGTGATCTTGGCAAACTCCTATCAATGGAACAGTCATCACTTAGACTGCTATTCTTGGGCCTCTGGATTTTCATTAACATTATGATCATTACTCAATTTGAATAGATGCTGCTCTCCATTTTGTGCTCACCTCTTGTTAGAGATTCACAATCCTTAATTTAAACTCACCTATACCTTTGTTGCTTTGACTCCATTCTTCTAATACCCTCCTCTTGTAGATCGCCTACTAGACTATTGTTATGTATATCTTTGATTGGTTGATCACTTATGTCTTTGATTGTTTTAGTTGAGGTGCAACAATTGTCTTCTTATCTGAATGGATCTAATTTCTCTGTTTTCTTTATTTGAATAGTTCTTCTTATCTGAATGCCTCTTGTTTTACTTTCCCAACTCCCATCACCTGCCCTGTTAAGATCTCCATCTCAGCCAAATTTATTTATGACCTAAATCTTGGGTCATAAATACTCTTCACTCAATCTTGGCTTATTCCTAGTGGTCACTCCTAAGCGCTTCAGTCTGGAAAGCCTCCCAATAGCCCCTCTACTCATTGCTTATTAAACTGAAAACCTTTGTTGCCTCTTTTTTAACACTTGAAGACTTTTTATTACCTTCTTTTTTCTACATGTCTCTAACATGTTTTAAAGCTGTGGTATCGACTCGTTGCCAAGTCATTTGATTGGTTAATTTTTCCTACCATAGCACCATGTATCCCTCCCCTTTATCTTGCTAGTGTCTCTTTGAATTTCTCCCTTACTACTATCGGTATTTATAGTATTTGTAATCATTCATGGAGAGAGAAAGAAGAGAAGAGAGGAGAGAGGAGAAGAGGAAGATACGGTTGAGAGTCTCAAAACTATATCTGGCGGCAGCCAGTTTGTTTATTTACATTAACTTAATATAAAGGAATGAGAAATTACAAGTATGCCCTTGGTAGCTGTTTTGGAATGGTAGAATACTGATTTGTTACATTCTATTGCCAATGGGCATATTTATACAGTAAGCTGCTGCAATAAATA